AGTCTAACACATGGACAACAAAGCTGATGTCATGTCAAATGATGATGAAATTAACAATCTACCTATCAACCTCCTGTATTGCCCTGGATCTTAACAAAGTGGGCCTACATCAGGATCTAACTTGATTTGTTGGTCCATGGGTGATGTCGTCGGTTTGCATACAGTAAGTCCATTATCCGTTAATATGTCAAGCATGTATTTCCTTTGGCTTAAAAGAATGCCAAATGGTGTTCATACTACCTTAATTCCTAGAAAGTATTTTAGCTTGTCCAAGTCTTTGATGCAAAATTCTCAATTCAAGTGAGTTTTGAGGTGACAAATTTTGAGTGCGTGTCATTCCCTACCACTATGATATCATCAACATATATTCACTACAACAAATGATTCTTTGGCAGAGTATGTAAATAAAGAATGGTCGGCATGAAATTGTGTGAACCCAATAGCCAATAAAAAATTAGTAAACTTTTGATACCAATTTCACGATACTTGATGAAGTCCATTAAAAGATTTCTTAAGGCGGCATACTCGTTGCTCCCTCTTTCTGGCAAAACCTTGAGGTATCTTCATATAAACTTCTTCTTCCAAGTCCCCATGTAAAAATGCATTATTAACATCCAACTAGTGCAACTTCCAATGATGTATTGAAGAAATTGGCAGAAAATAGTGCACAGTGACTAATTTTGTAATTAGGGCAAAAGTTTCATGAAAGTCGACCCCTTCAATCTGAGTATATCCTTTGGTAACTAATAGCTTTTTATATTGATCCACTGATTCATCTAGGTTATATTTGGTTTTGTATATCCATTGGGAATCTATGGCTCACTTTCTTAGAGGTAGAGATGTGAGAATCCAGGTGTTATTTGCTTTCAATACTGATATCTCTTTGGTCATAGCATCACACTAGTGTTGCAATTTTACTAGCAAAAACAAAAATGATTTGGGCTCATCAACAGTAGAGATAACAGCTAGTAACACATTGTGAACTCTATAAAATTTGGAATAAGAGATATTATGTGATAAAGGATATATCGTAGAGTTAGCCGAAAAAGGTGTAGAGTGTGAAGTAGGAGCAATCGAAGAGGGCAAAGTATAATTGTAACCAGAGATAGTTTTCAAAAATTATCATTGTCGTTTGGCAGGAAGTACGTTGTGCTACTTTTCAATCTCAATTCTTGATTCAATTAAAAGAGGATATTTTGCAGGTTAGTTGTCTTCTTCACCTGAAGATGTTGAGTTTTCTTGTGCATGCATCGATGTAATATCCGTATTTTACACTGGCCCAAACTCTTGGACTTGTTGCATATAGACTTGTAGTTCTTCTTGTGTTGTACTTTCTAATCCTAGGTGTCCATGTGGCTCATCAAATGGACTAGGAGAACTTATTTGTATGTCCTGGTATCCTTTTCTACATTTGCATAATTGATTTCCTTCCTTATCTTGGCAAAGGGAAAATTTTCTTCTCAAAATTGCATTTCTCGATAAATCTATAACTTTTTACTTTCAAGGTTGTATATGCAATAGCCTTTTTATCCCAAGGAGTACCCAACAAAGACACATGGTCTGTTACAAGGAGAACACTTATCTCATAGTTTGTTGATGTGCCCACAACAAAGACATCCAAAAGTTCTAAGATGATCATATGATGGAGATTTGCTGAACAATTTTTCATATGGAGTTTAGTTTTTTATGACTAAAAGTGGCATGCGGTTGATTAAATAGGTTGCTATGAGTACACATTCACCTCAAAATGTGATAAGGAGATTGAATTGAAATTGAAGTGCACATGCCACTTCTAAAAGATGGTGATGCTTTCGCTCTATCACTCCATTTTGTTGGGATATGTTTATGCAACTAGTTTGTCTCTCTATCCCATACTCAAAATAATCATTCTCCAAATCCTCATGATTGAATTTCAAGTTGTTATCTATTTGCAACATTTTGACTTGTGCATTACACTGTCTTGACCTATTGGAAGAAATAAAGCAAAAGATCCCTTATGTCTAATTTATGCTTCATAAAAAAAGCCCATGTTGCTTGGCTGTAATCATTAACAATTGAGAGAAAATATTAAGATTCTAAAAAAGATGCGGTGCGAGAAGGGCCCCAAATATCATAGAGAATTAAATAGAAAGCATGCAAACTTTTATTCTTATGATTTGTGAAAGGTAATCTAGTTTATTTTGTCCCTCAACAAGCATCACAGAGAAAATTATCCTTCCGAGTAACAACCAAGTTTGGAATCTTTGAAAGGCGATTCAAAAAAATATGTCCTAATCAATGATGCCATTGAGTTACAATACCTTTGCTTTTAGGCAAAAAGGCTTTGCTTGCCCTTGTTGGCTTTAAAAAATACAATATGTTTTACACTTTACCCATTCCAATTGGCTTCCTCGAGAGTAAGTCTTGAATTATACAAAAATCATATCTAAATATCAAAAGGCAATTTAAGTCATGGGTTATCTTGCTCACAGACAGTAAATTAAAACAAAAACTAGGTACACAAAGAACTTGTTTCAAAGTTAAATTTTACCTAAGATTCACTCAACCCAAGGTATGTATTAGTACAATATCACCATTCAAAATTTTAATAGATGGTATTTTAGGATTTTTAACCATATCTAATAGGTTGTTGAGTTAATGAGTACTATGGTCTGTGGCCCCAATATCAATTACCCATGAGTCATCCCCATTTTCAAGAGAATTACCCAAAAAATTAGCATTGGAAACTATATTTGCTATTGGCCTAGTAACAAAGTTAGGCTAATTAAACTACAAGCCCAAGATGCTTATTAGTTGTTGCACTTGGGCTTGGGTTAGCCCATGAATGGGTGAAGAAGTTGCCGACCTGTCAATATGAGCCAAATTCGGCTTTGTTGCAGTTACAAAGGCAAGGGTTTGTGCCTTAACGCCTTCGACTAGAGTTATCATCGTCCGAGCAGCACGTAATTGGCCTTTTTCTCCTTTGGGGTTTGATCTTCGTTGCCAATCCAGTGGGTAACCCATGATTTTGAAGCACAATTCTTCAATATGACACATTTTATCACAATAGAAGCATCAGGAGTGTGGCCTTTCTCCCTCGCGTTGTAGATTATTGCGTTGATCAGTCCATTAGTTAATGCCACTTCATCTTATTCCATTGACAATTTGGTTCTTGGTCATTAAGGTTGGTGCTTTTGGTATCTCAACTCAAGTTGTAGCAATGGCACCTTGCTTTTCCTCTTGTGCCACAATTGCATAAGCACGCCAATGCTTGGCAAATGTTTAACATTGAGAATTTGAGAACGCACGGTTCCGTAGTTATCATCCAAGCTCATTAGAAAGTCAAATAGCTTCTCTTCTTCGTTCATTTTCTACATTGGTTTGGCTACACTACAAGTACACTTTCTAGAACTACAGACTGTAAGGGTCGAAAGGTTTGAATTTCACTTCATAATAATTTTAATTTTCCATAACAAGTAAAAATTGAAATAGCTTCTTGTTGCAAAAGTGCAGTTGCTCATTTGAGTTCATAAACTCTAAGAGCAATTCCTTGTGTAAACCTTTCTTTTAAGGTCAATCCATACCTCACTTGCAGTTTCTGCATGTACGGCTCCTCCTTGTAGTTCTTTGGAAAGAGCGTTAATTAGCCAAGACAGCACTGTTGCATTACACTACACCCAATCTTGAAATTTAGGAGAATTGACTTCTAGTTTTGAGATTAACCCATCCATGAACGCTGCTTCATTCTTGGATTGGAGCGCATTCATAAAATTGTATCTCCAAGTGAAATAGTTATCCCTGATTTCACTTGAGGGATTTGTGACCAAAATTAGACCAAGATGATCAAAGGAGTGCAAATAGTAAGGTAATTTGGTATCTACTATAGTGTTGTTTGGTGCACCCCCAACTATAGTCAACACCAAACTTCCATTACTCTTGTCTGCTCCTTCCTCACTCCTGTTAGCCATTAGAATACAGCTTAGGTTATTTGCAACCTCTGTTCTGATACCATGAAGAATTTGAATATTCTTGCCTGAATCCTTATTGATGAAGCACTTGGTGCTTAAATACAAGTTGTAGTGTTCATACAAAAAGAAAGGAAATATTTACAATGAATTCCTGCCCAATATAAGGCCTAAAGTAAGGCATTAGTTATACCACAAACTAAAGGATTAGAAATTAATCAATGGTTATAGTTTAATTAGTCAATGATTATAGCATACAATCAAGTAGGATAAGATCATGGAGTCAAATTTCCTTCCTTAACTAGTGTCTTAAAAACCAAAAAATTATCCCATGAAAAATGGCTTAGTTTTGTAACATAGAAAAAGCACATATAAAAATAAACGAATTTGGAAAAGTTTAAGGTTGAGTAAGAAATTTACCAAGACCAAGGGAGGCGACATAAGAAAGAGAAAGAAAACTTGAAAGGAAACTAAGGGGGTACACTACAATTTTGGGAAAACCAGGGCTCCATCCCTGCGTAGGACGATTATTGTAATTGAAAAACAATAAAATTGGAAATGGTAAGCAATGGTGTCTTTTTGGATTGATCATCTATTCAGAAGTTCGGCTAGTTTTAAGGACCTCCTAATTAGTTTTTCTTTATAGGAACTGCAGCATCTTCCCCAAGGTTAAAACAATTGTTGCTTAAATATTTAAATTTTTCAGGGATGGAGCATGGTGATATCTGTGACACAGAGATTTCCAGGTCCGATCATTTATGATACAAATAAAAGTCCAATTTAGGGGCTGATTGATACATAATATGCAGACCAAATTATTATGGTTTCAGACTTTGGTCAGAAGAATCCCCCATTCTTTACGTTCAACGCTTTGGATGATGTATTTTTTGGGTGCCCATCCAATCCAAATGCCTCCTCACTTTTGGGATATGGGCAAACAAAGGAACAAGCAAAGCTTCCCCTCTTGTTTGCAAGCTTCAATTTTGGTCTTTAATTTGTCTCATACATGACATGTTTCGAAAAAGAAGAAAGCAACAACTACTACACAGTAGTGACTATAGTGATTATAGCTCCAAACATTAAATGATAGTGAAAAACAAAAAGTAGGGAACTGATATGATTTTGCCTTTTTTTTCTTTCACTTTTCCTACCTTTTTCTTGAGTCAAACACGCTTGGTTGCAGCATCTTTTTACCCACCCCAACAAGAAAAATATAGTCTCCTACCTTAATCATAAGTCATGATAATAATCATTTTTCCTTTCGGCTACCACTACTCTATGTACTAGGGGCAACAATTCCAGAGCATGCAAAAACCTAATATATCAAGATCCTGTAACATTCTAAGATGACCCTATTGTTTTCCCTTCGGAGATTCCTCATAATATTTCAGTTCAGTATCCTTTTTGACTCTAGACCATTTTATAAGGATATATAGAAAATAACTTTGATCCGGCTAATGACGTTTTCTATCAGGGGCTAGAACCAGAGCATATATAACGCACCCGGCAGCTTATGCTTTATGGGTACATCACACTCTTGCTCACAAGCTTCTAGGCACATGATGCTTTGGATTCTCCATTTTCCTTATTGAGAGTGTTCTTCCTTTCTTCATATGCCTAAAAGTATGTAATACACAAGTGTTACAGGCAATGACACCAACATGCCAAAGATAACCCTGCAAGAATCCAAGTGCACAATGTGTTGTTAATCATGTCATGTCAACATCCTATGCGCAAAAAGCAGATACGCAGCAGATTGAAAGGTCTTTGAGAAGTGAGACATCAAAGAATACCAACAAAAAAAAAATTAACCGATGCTGACTACTTGTGATTTTAACTCACCCAGTACTCAAAATGTCAGGATGCAACCCGTATTCCCTGGCAAAAACAAACGGTACAATCCCTTGGGGAAGTGCAGCCTGAGATTAAGTTTCAACTAATGTTTCAATCAAAGCCTAATAAATAACACAAATCCAATCTTGTTGGATTTTATATATGTACAGGATTATAGACTTGCGGTACCTGTACTATGGCAGCATGTAGCTTTGGTCCTCTTAATCCCATGGCAATCGATGCGGTGGACATTATTACAGGACCACTAAGGAAACGGATCACCATCCCCATTGTTGCTCTTTTTGTGCCACAAGCAATAATCCTTGGCTGAAGTGCCATGAATAACCCTGCAGTATCAGTCTGATTATCATCTGGGATATTTTTGGATGGAAATTTCTAAATTTTGCAAAGACGAAAGTACAATTGTGGTCCAAAAAGTCATGTGCGAGTAACACGAGGGACATTAATGCTGCAATGTTTACTAGTAGTATTTGTAATAATTAAAGATCCTCCAGGGAATCCATGTGTGTGTAGCTTTCTATATACATGATTTTACACCAAAAGCAGGTGAGTGAAAAGAAGAAAAGTGGAGTGTACCTAAACTGAACATTGCCATCCCAAGGCCTGCATCCGAAATTATTTTTATTGAGTATTTCACCAAACTTGGCATCCCTACATTCCACCTGCACAATCAATGAGATTAAATTAAAGTTTTTAGCTGCCTTGAAGTCCTTGATCAACTTATTTAGCTTAGATCAACATGGACTTTATTTTTTTTTATTCTTTTCCCAATAAAACTAAATCCTCTGTGCTTTATTTTAGTACCAACTCAACAAAGACAGAAAGAGGGACATAAGAGGATGACAAGGTTGAGGGATTTCAACCCCAAATTCTAACCCTTTATTGAAGGGGCAGAATCCACCAAATGAAAACTGACTTTTTTGTAATAGAAAAGACTAAGTTTCTAAGTTAAACATGGGCCAAGAAATCAATGTTTCAAAATGGGTTACTCAGGACATATGTGGATGGCCAAGGTCCTATAATAAACTCACTTGAAGGAGATGAGGGACCAAAGAAGGCCTAAGATACTTGAGTAGGTATTTGGATTGCGAGAGAGCTTCCTTCCGACCACAATTAGTATGAGTCTTAGCATGACCAAGGCATTTGGCATTTCTTGTTTGCTCACGGCTTCCTTCCCATCTGCAACCTCTGCTACTGTTATTTTGGTGTTGTCTCGAAAGCTAATTTCCTTCTCTACAAAATATTAATTCATGAACACCCAACATCAGTAATTCTAATTAATTTCGTTTTAACATATATGCATATAAAATAAACCATTAATTAACTTAAAAATGTCAAAAAAACTCCTAAACACAATAACAAATTGCTCAGTAACAAATAGTCAACCTCTAAATTATGCAAGATAAATCACAATAAGAGAAATGGGTTGACCAAGTTATGGTGTAAGATTACTATTGCATTATTGTATTGATTCGTCATAATATCAACTAGAAAATCATGCTGTCCTCCCTCTTATCATTACACACGTGCTGTAAGGTAATGATGATATCTATCAAGTAAGGATCTGACTTAAACCAAAAGTTATGGATTAAAATTTAAGATTATTCTAATTACCTTGTTTCTCTTTGAGAATAGTGCTGGGTGGGGTACAACTTGTCTTATAGACACTACAATTTTTTAAGAACAGCCTAGCCATTGATTAAAGTTCAAAACCTTTAATTAATGGAAATAGCAAATTTTTCATAAGATCTAAAGGAATATTCATAGGGAACTTTAAAATGCAGGACACTGCCATATTGAAGAGATTATTAGTCTCCGTGGGCATGGACTCACTCTGCCACCAAAAATTTCCCCTTTATATTTTTAACCGCCATTGCCCCATAATCGTTAGTTAATTTAGGTAAATGAGAATCAACCCCAAACCCAAACATTTAAAAACATAAAAAAGCAGAAAGAACCTGACAGGCACGTTCCTCAACATTTTTTAGAGTTTTATAATAAGAGACAAAACGTAGATGCATTCCTGTAAAATCTGATTTTCTCTTTGATGGTTTACCTTTTCTTGAAATATTCTTTTTTTATATATAAAAAAAGAACTATGTAGGCTTTCCATATTTTAAAAATATAATCAAAATTAAGTTCTTCTGACGAAATCATGAAATATAAATAAAAATAAAAATTTAAGATTTAAAAAAAAAGAAATAATTTTAGAACATAAAAAAATTAGACAAAAAAAAAAGACAGAAGAAGAAGTATCTAAATTTACATTTTTTAAATTAAAATAGTAAACAAAATAATAGCAAGATAAAAGATTAAAAACCAAAGACCATCTTAAGTTTTCGCATGCACTTACCACCAACGTCTTTGAATCCCTGCCTGTTATCACTCCCACCACCACCTTGACACTCCCAAACCATTTTCATGGCAGGAACCACCGGAGACGCCTGCCTGGAAACTTTCCCACCCGCCACCGGAGACCTCATCCATATTGGTGTATTCCCCGTCGTCGTCGTCGTCGTAATCACATCCATCTCATTAAAATTGGAAGCCCTCGGCGTCGGCTGCAAGGAGTAAGCATCCGACGAAGCGTACCCCGACAAACGCGGGCTAACGGCACGGTAACCGAACCCCAAATCCCCGTTACAGAAAACAATCTCGTTATTATTTGGTCCGCCCGGCGTATTAACGGAAAAGATTTCGGCGTTGGAGAGGTTGGATGCTCTAGGGGTGAGGCATATGGAGGATGATAGAGCTGAGTCCGGGGCTGATGACGTGGACCGCCTGATGCGGACACGGATACGGCCGTTGATGTCCGCCTCGGATTCTGTACGGAGAGGATCACGGCCGTCCAATGAGATGACGTCGTTGTCGAGCTCGAATTTGGAAATGGTGGCAGCAGTCGGGCCGGGGAATTGGGTTTTGATTAAGAGCGTTGCTGCTCTGTATTCGAAGAGGAAGAGCAATAGAGTGTACCTGCACTGAAACGACGCCGTAAGGTGCTTTCTGTTTTATGAATTAATCTTGATTATTTCCAATATAAGGTTTTTTATTTTTTTTTTGCTGTTCTTGCTATCTTCGGCAGTCCTTGTGCATAGAAAACCTCTTCCTAGCTTTCTACGGTCAACTTTTATCTAATTGTAAAAATAAATATTTTTTTATTTTAAGATAATCGTAAATAATCCAAAATTTGAAGAGAGAAAACAAAAATAATAATAATAATAATAATAATATTACATGTAAATATGTAGTACAATTTGATAAGAAAGAAACTATGTGCCCTATTTGAGAATAGTATTTAGATTACTACATTTTGACTTTTTATCATTGTCCTTTAAAATAACAAATTAAGCTACTTTTGAAGGAAGACTTTCGTGCATGTATTTTCTGTGTGTTTCTTTGTTCAACCTTTTCAGCTTTATTTCTACTAAAGGTGTAGCGATGGAGACAAAAAGACTACAGCTAACTAAGCATTACCAATGTCCAACATAATAGCTACAAACCTTTTTGTCTTTTAAAAAGAAAAATGAGAAGAAATATAGTAAATGAAGGAGGAAGAAAACATCAGTAATAAATTAAAATGATGAAGATTGCAATGTATACCATATGATGCATTGAAGAACAACGAGTTGCACCATGAGGCTTTGAGTGAAATCTCCATACATAGCATTAAGCAGAGGGATGCCCATGACAAGAGTGTTGGGCAAAGTAGCAACAGAGAAGAGGGTGATGAGCCAATCCAGGGATCCTCCGGGGAAGAAGATAGCCCAAACTGAGAGCAAGACAAGGACCAAGACCTTGGACAGAGTATCAGCCAGGATGAACTTGGTGTCCATTTGGTAAGGGTTGTTCTGAGCTATGAAATGGAAAGACAAGACCGGCACAGCGAAAACGGCCACGAATCTGTTGATCCCAGAGCATTGCTCTGGGCTGAATATCCTCCACCATTTCACTGACCCGTACGCGACCAACATTGCGAAATACAATGGAACCATTGCACACATCACCTTGTAAAAATCACCTGCTGTTATCATCTTTTCTCTCTTTTTGAGTTTTTTGGTTTTTTCTTCTACTGGGGAGTAGTTTTCATGGAGTTGAATATTGATATGTCAAGAGGGTGATTATATAGAGGATTTATGGACCATTTTGGCCCTGGAAAAGTTGCCAATTTACTTTGGGAATGGGAGGGCACTGTGGTCAGCGGGAATTACGGTTGGTAAGCTAATGATTAACTTTTCAGTAGTGGTTCACATAGATAGATAGATAGATATAAATTCGGATGTATGGGCTTAATGACACTGGTACATATTGTTTGCTAATTAGTTTTTCATTTTCAACGTGGCAATTCTGGAGATTCTTCTAATACTGCTCATCTCGATGTTTGGGGGTTATTAGGGTAATTGGGATTTGCTATTTCCAGTTGTGATTGATTTGGCTATATGCACTGTTGACTGTTTCCCAATACGAGCCACGATCATGGAGTGCACTTGGAAAAATAGGGGTAACCTTCCCATCATATTGCCATCTTATTTGAACGCTGCGCTCATCACTCCCATACTTACTAGGTTTGTTGGGAATGTTAATCATTATATTCAAATTACTAAATTTTCGGATTAATATTACTTTAAAAAGCTTGGCAAATAGACATGAAAAAAGAAGCCCTTTAAATTTAAAATTCTATACAATGACCATATATAGAGTGCTTTAAAGTTAAACAACCCTTTAGCTCCGTTTATAGAATTAAAATAACTTTGAAAATGACGCACAGAATAACAAGATTCTTTTAATCTAAATGATAATTGCATATTAGGAGAAACAAAAAATAATAAAAAAAAAAATTATTTTCTCATGTTTTTAAAAAGAAGGGAAATGTAATCTGCTAATTAATCAGTAATAAAATTTCAATTTTTTTACTATTTATAAAAGATAAAAAGTAAAAAGCAAGAAACATTAACCACACAAAGCTTTGAATGGAGATGTAACATTCAAGTCAAGTGACATGATACACTGGAAAAGGAAAAGCAAGTGAAACACGAGGCTTTTCATGGTCTTTTTGTACGTATATGGTACAGTGCAAATTATTCAGGAATTCACAGAGGGGTTTGGTGATGGATCAATGAGGGGGATCACACGATTGGCTGGGGGCCAGCCGGCATGGACCATCCGGCATGATTCAGACCCAACAGCCTTCTTCAAAGCTGATCATTCTGCCTTTAATAATATGTCAAAGAAATCGGAGACCTGCATGTTAGAGTGTTTTCTCTTTTCTATTTGTCTCCTTTTGTTTTTTTGTTTTTTTTTATAGTTTTGGCCAGTGGAACATGTTTGATCCATGTTAAAAGTAATAGGAGTTCAATAAGATACCCCTAGGGCCTAGGGCCTAGCCCTAGCTAGGAGACCACCTTCAATATATAGACACTATCTAACACAATGCTAATGTAGTGGAACCTTTGATTGTCTTCGTAAATTGAAGCAAAAATAAGAATCGATCCTTAAACATTTATTTTCACAAACTGAAACAAGTTCTATCACTCGCTAATTACAATTATGCATCACTGACAGTTTAACTATTATATTTATCTTGTGAGTTTGTTTTAAAATTGAGACCGTAATAGCATTTTTTTAATATAGTATATACATTCAGTGATGTTGTAACTTGCACTCATAACTTTATTAATTATTAAAAAATTTATTCACATATAATTAATTCACTTTAATATAATGAGATCAATAATATAATTAAGTGGTATTATGGCACCACCTTCTCCAACTTTATTTAAAAAGAAAGTTTACAATGCAAATTGGTCAGTGTGAATTCTTCTTTTTTTTTTGTTTTTGTTTAATTGAAACTAATCCCGTACCCTATGGAAAAGGGGCCCCCACCCTCGATGCATGGGTTGCAATCAAGAATCAGAAGCTAACGTTGCTGATGGCAATGCTAGCAGATATAGACATTAAAAGGCCACCAAGACCCTCACTGCCTCAAGCATGAATGCTTCCCGGGCTTGCTTTCCGAGGTTTAGGCTTAGCGACATTGATGAAATGGAGATAGGTAACTTTGCTGCCTTCGAAATCTAAATTCCATTAGGCATACTGCATTAGAAAATTCGGCAGGAACACAGAGAAGTAGACAATTATTACATGTAGGATTTAATTTTAAAGAAGAGAGCTTATTGAGAGTAAATTTTGCATTTGAAGTTGTGTTTTTATTTTATTTTTATGTATTATATATCTTCAAGACGAAATCTTAAATTTGAATTGTTTTTGTATCTGGTTAAAAACCAAAAGTATTAAATGAAGGTTAAAAAAAAAATAGGGGAACAAATTAAGATGTGGGGTTTGATCATTGAAGGGTAAGAAGATCAAACCGATTCAAGTTTCAAGTTAAAGCATGAAGCTGACAGGGCCTCATCACATTTGTAAAGTTTTCCATTAAATATTGAAAAAGGTCATATATTATATTTGCCCTATTGCGAATTGGCTTAATTAGCTCTCCGTAGGGCTGTACTTTGCTTTGGGGTTCCCGGAAAGGGGAGGAATTGAAGGGCCACCTTCGATTCTGGAGAGTGCCGCCTGGCCTGCCTAAGCCAAAAACATCACGGCTTATCTTGCTATAACTAGCATTATGAGCCATGTGAGATCATTGAGAATCTAGAAAGCAGCTTTCAGATATAGGGGCAATGATCTCTCAAGGATTTCAACACTTTGGGGCTTTGGAATAAAGTTGAAAGAAAAAGTTGACTTGGATCCAACCTGCAGCAAAGCCAAGGGCCTTTCACTCTATATAAGAGCAGTCGAGAACTGGGAAGAAACAGCTTTGCCTAGCCTTTTCTGTTCAATTCCCATAAAGATTGTTGTTCCGTTTCCATAAAGCTTTCTTGCTTTTCAGTAATGTTGAATTTTTCTTTGTATGAATCTATCTCATCATGCATCAACAAAGGCGGACCGTTTCAAGGGCCTGTGCCAATGGGGATCCCCAAAAGCCGACTCAACTTTCATACTCTTTTCTTCCTCATTTTTTTTACAAACAAAACCTCAAGGTTTCAAATAATTGAAAGTCCTTAACTAGTGTAGAAATTAGCTCCAAATTTTATGATCTCAAACCCTTTATTTTTTGCAAGGTTTCTTTTATTCTTTCGATATATGCAATACAAATAACACTGTTTACCTATTTAACTATCTATATTTGGTTTTTTACTTAGAGAATATTAGATAGTAAATAATGTGAAAAAAAAAAGAATTAAGAAAGTGTTTATAATTCATTGAAAGATTGTCGAGGTGCTACTAATTTGTATTTTAAATATAATATACAATATTTAGTATATTTGCAATTATGCTGTTAGAATTTTTGGTTTTTATTTCCCTAGGGTACTTATCTCGATCAATGCTTCAACCATGAGTTTGCTTTTATCTTTTAATAAATGTGTCAATAAATGCCTAAATTAGGAATTAAGTAGGACTGGAAGATACCAAAATGCACTCATAGACCAATTTTTGTTTATGAGGTCACATATTCTTGAAAAAAAAATTATATTTACAATCAAATAATTTTGAATATATATTTAAGAATTTATTTATGAAAAAAATTAATAAAGCATATGAACAAAATTATTAAGTAACATAAAATTGATTTGAACCTTGTCACTGAGTACAGATTGTGTCATTTTTGATCAAATTGATTTTATTTTATTAAGTGTTGCCCTTTTATTTTAATTGGTAGTGGGAGACCTTTTCGTTTTTTCTTTGGATCAAGTGGTGGTATAGGAGACTTAACTATGAAGATAGAAGATATGGCCATGATTTCAGCATGCAAACAAACATTTAATAAATAAGAAAAGATTTAGTTTTGTTAGTGGGCTATATGCCTGCCTTTGATTAGCTAAGCTTTGGGTAATCCAAGATTCGATTTTAAGACCTTTTCTCAATAGTCAAATACCATCCATCGCCAAACTTAAGCATTGACTATAAAATCTATAACTAATGGTTTCCATTTTTAAATAATAATAATAATAAAAAAAAACCAACTATTAAAAGCGACGAAAACTCAAACAAATAACTAGGTATTCGAATCTTGAGAGACATAAGCACAGCCTCATGCTTGTGAAAATGGCCTGCACAAGACGAGGACATATAAATTATATGTTTTCCATTATCCGTTGATTTTGAGCTCAATTTTTTTTTATTTATACTACTACCTTTCAAATTGTAATTACCCTTTGTGTATGTCTATTACCTATCATAAGTTTCTCTTGTCAACCATGGCTTAGGCCTTGGCGTTCTTTGTCTAATCATTACAGTTAATAATACGAGAAATGCTATTAACTCCAAAGCTTGACGATGTTTGATGGACACAACTCACAAGACATAAATGAACTTGAAATTACAATTTGAATTATATATAGGTCGAAAACATATATAAAAGCTCATCTATAAAGTTATACTTGGTCTATGTCCATACTTGGGTCAATCAAAATTTTTTATTTTGGTTGAGGAAACTGAGTTGGATTTACAATTAAAATAAGTGCACGCAGAAAAATGAAAGCAACATTGTGGTACCTGCTACTTGTACAAAGCCAAAAAAACGCAGCAGCTAGCTAGCTAGCCAGCAAGCAGTGGTAGTAAGAAAGGGAGAGTCCAAAGGCAAAGGCAAAGGCAAAGGCACAAGGACGAGAAGCAGCAAAAAGAGGTGGATGGGATGGGGACGGTACAGTGTTTGTCGTTTTGCTTTCTATGGCGCTCTGTTGGCTGTGGGATTCTGAGATAATATGAAAGTGAAGTGATAGGAGGCGTGCGGTGGGCCCCCCGGCCCACCTGAATTGCCTGCCACAGCATGCCCCCCAAGCCTGCACCGCCCCGCCCCCTCACCCCGATCTTGGGCTGGACCCCACTTTCCCTAGAATGTTGCTTCGTGTCTTTTGCAAACCCCCTGACCCTCCCTCCCCTGTCCTTTTTCCATTTAAATTTTTTATTACTTTAGGTTTTCACAAGTACACTTTTAGACGTGCAGTTTGTACTTAACGTTGATGGGCCCGATATGGGCCTTTTCAGATTGAAGTTTGATTCTTACGGAACGTAATTAT